GATGCTCGAATGGCCCATTGGGCTAGTCCACTGGGGACTGACCGATTGGGCCTAGTCCCCTGTACACTTGTCAGGTTTTATTAACTCCTTCAGGAGATGAAAACCTTAGACCAGAAATAATGTAAATTTAATTTAAGAAACATGGTCAATACGCTGTCAATTTCATATACATCACCATGCTCATGGTTATATATAATTGATCCATAAACGCACCCAAAATATTAATATATATCACATTAAAAATGAAAACCAATAGAATGAAAAGCATAAATAGAAAATAATCCAAAGTTTCTCATCATCATGAGATTCCTCCTCTTCCTCTCTATGAGAAGAAATCCCCTTTATAAATTTCATTCAATTTTTTTTATGACATTCAACTTCAATCAATTATAAAACAGCCATACCATTATTGAAAAAGTAAATCTTTTTTTTTGGGACAAAATTGAGAAAGTAAATCTGAATATAATCAAATAGACCACTTAAGTAAGCTTCTAATCAAAGAACTCAAAAAAAAAAACCTATGACAAAAATACCTGTCTTGGAGGAATAACACTATGAACAACCTATATCCCAGCTGGCCACATAATACTTGTTCATCCCATGAAAGAATAGGTACAAGGTACTCATATACATCCAAGCTAAGTCAACAACAGTACTTACATGGTTGGGTAATTTAAAAACGTGTCATATATATATAGATATGGGATAGAAAATGATATTTTGACACATTTCTATCTCTATCTACAGGGATTATTGACATAATGTCTTCCCGTCAGCTCTGAATCTATCGTACTTGCTAAATATATGTAGTTGACTATCTCATTGATAAATAATGTGCCCGAAAACTTGGCGCTTAGCCCTAGTGGCAAAGTGATCCCCTATTTCCCTTGTATGCAGGAAGTACTGGGTTTAATCCCCAACAGGGCTAGTTTAGCCCCCTTCCAATTTAAAAAATAAAAAAATGTGCCAATATTAGACCATAAATAATGTTGAGCTGGATAGAATTATAAAAAAGAATGTACAATACCGGATGCACATATTATGTATCAATGTTGTCGTAGATGAGCATGTTTAGCTGATGAACTGAATGCAAAGAAAGAGATGCAATCATAGAATGAATACAGGATATAAGAAATCTCTCATTCTCAAGACATGACACGCTTGGCTACATAAATCCAAACCCAACGTAAGCAACATTATATTACATGGATAAGGGCAATCAGAGTGAGAACATGCCATTACTACAATTCCAACACATAAGTTTAATAGAAGACTGACTTATTGTTAATCTCTTGAACCTCAAACATTGGCGAATTTGGAGCAGCCAGCTAGATTTAGAAATTCAAGAGAGCTTTTGCCAAATATTCATTTGAGATACTCACTAATTTGTGCAGTTCTCAAATTCAAAAACTCAAGCCCTCTCAGATACACCAATAGAAGGATGAAGCTGCACTAATGAAGTACATCCTTCCAACTCTAACCTCTCAAGACATGGAAGCAACCCTAAAATCAGGTGTCTTTTTCAAATCTTCAGAGCCACAAAGGTCAAGCTCGTTAGCAGCGGAATAACTTTCTAGATAGCAGATCAGACAAACCATCAAAACTTGTTCAAAGACAATATTTTTAACTGAACATTCAAAAGATTATATATATATTATATATATATATATTCATTAGTCTCAATGCCAAAAGTGCCATAATCACACTTTTATCATGGGAAATCCCAATAACAGTGAGACTTTAAACACCTCTTAACGAGAGAAATATTGAATAAGAAACATCCGTTGAAAAACTGAAATGAGATATTTAAACTATGAAATATAAAATTCTGATTCACTCAAAAATTAAAAGAAGCATATATGACTTTAATTTGCCGATCATAATCAATTTAGTTTTGATTAATATAAACAAAAAAAAATATTAATACCTCTTCGCCTCTCATAGTAGTGTTATGTTGCTATCTGGCATGATCATTTCCACAAGATTTTTTGGATTAAAATTTGATGGCAAATAATTAAATGGATATTTATGCCATAGACGATATATTAAGTTGTTAGAAAGATCATCAAGACTTCTGAAAATTTCACATTGTGAAATATAAGGATTCTAAGTGTCCTCATTTTTTATAAACCTTCAACATTTAATGTGTCCCTTGTGGATATTCTTCATTTGAGAGTACTATGACTTCAAACACGATCAGTTCCCTGAATATAAATTTATTGCATATGAAATTTGAAAATCAAAATTATCAATAATTTTCTATATATAGAAACAAAAAAATAAGCTAATATTCTAATTCCTCAAATGTATACGTTTCACCTATATAATCTTTGAAATATAATTACCATCAAATTAATATAAAGGCTTTGTTAAATTTATCAATTGGGGCCATTTGTTAATACAGTTATTAAGGTGAACAGAATTTATTAATTATGTCAATGCTGTAAAAAATGCCATTTCTTTGTGTTATATAGCAAGCATCTAGATGCATTTTTAACCATCAATGTAAACTACTATTTTAAGATGTGTTTCACATTAATTAAAACTCTTACAAAAGGATACATGAAAAAGGATCATGTTTTGCAATACATTTTATCTAAGTGGGGGATATTTCATGAACTAAACTGACAGCACACATAACTAAAGGGCTTAACTGAAAATTTACTTTTAAGGCAATTAAAATACAAAGAACTTACCGTGTTAGTCTCCATAATATAACGAAAATCTTCATAATTCCATATCCTATCCTACTCCGCCTTCCAGGCATAGCAGATTCACGTTGAACAATTAGATTTGCCAATTGTTGTAGGATAGGATGTATTTTTATTATTTGGTTTGATATGTTTACCAGTGACTTGTCCGTAAGACATTTGATTGTCGCATTTGACCAAGTAGAATTCTCTGGACATAATCAATCTCTTGTCCTGCAAAACAAATGCAATATCCAAGAAAGCATCCTTCTGCTCATGAGTGAGTCCATCGAAACTTTTATGAAGCACCATGAGTACTAAAAAGTCAGGAATCGTTTGCAGTTTGGTCAACACACTTTTCCACGCTAAAACATGTAGACCAACCAGCGTTGAACCTACTGATTTAATAGCTAATGGAAGGCCATCAGCATATTTAAGTGCTTCATGGGTTAGCTCCTCATAACCTATCGTTGGTTTTATCACTTTTGAAAGCAATTTTTCAGAAAAATCGAAGAGCTTCATTTTGATTCAATAGTTCCATCTTGTGAATTTCATCTACTCCAACCTTCTAAGGAGTCCCTCATCTCTGCTCGTTATGATAATTCTACTTCCCCCTCCAAACAACCCTCTAATCCATCCTTCATCTAGAAGTTCATGATACTCTACATCATCAAAAACAAGAAGCATCCTATGGAATCTTGGCCTTTCTGGGAAGCTATCCGAAGAAATGCCTCTCTTAAAATGAATTGATTTGGGAGATAAACTTGGTTGGTAGCTGGTGGAATGATGAAATAGGCAAATCAAAAAGGTGAGAGATTTTGTTCAAGACATCCCGGGCAAGAGCTGACTTCCCTACTCCCCCCATCCCACTAATCCCTACAACTCGCACATCATCCTTTGAGCCTAAGTCTAGAAGATCAATTAATTTTTCTACATGACGATAACCTATCCCAACTGTAGCTATTTGTCCTGATTTATTTATTTCCTTTGCAAATTCTTCGACATGGTTTAGACTTGATTTCCTGTAGAAGAGAAGAAGAACAAAAGTAATTTAGCAGTTATTGTTTCATATAGGTATGAGTGCGTACACGATTTCAATTTACTCATAATTTTTTTTATTTCAAATCTTGTGTCTCTATATATCCACACACAGATACACACACACGAGAGAGAGAAAGGACTTGATCAATTCGATGCAGCCAAGTATATGCAGAGAAACAACCATTAAGAACTAAAATAATGTTACTTACCAATAACGCTTTCCAAACAAAATGGAGTTGCCATATTTCTTAACCATATTACAAATAACCATAGGCTGATCTCTCCTGAAGAAGATGACTGAAAAGAAAGTTAGTGCTACCATTACTAACAAAGTGAACAGATGTCAATTGATGAAGAAGATTGCTAAGAAAATGATATTGACTTCACATTAATTTACTAATCATTTGCCTAAATTATATAAAATGAACTTATTCGAGAAATAATAACTTTATTAATTATTAGAATAAATGTTTAATTTCGTGAAAATAAAATTTATATACTAAAGGACTGAGTTCATAATTTGGCACACAAAAGTTGACAATAAACGTATTTTCAAGTTAAGAATAATTAAAGGAAAGAAGACACACCTCAAATGATAATTAAATCATAGTTTATCTCTTTTCTTTACTTTAATATATCCCATAAAATGCTTTGAAAGAAGAAATTTTAAAATATGGACAGAACAATTAGAGAAGAAGATCTTATCCATCTTGAACCACCAAATCTTTACTAGAAAGAAAACTGGCACTACGTACTTTAAAGGCATCCACCTCCAAAAAGATTTGCAGAAATGATGTGTGTCGTTTATTTAAGTTCAGTTCCTGCAAGTAGCGTGTTTGGGCCTCATAGTTTTTAGAGATGATATAAACACAAAGCTTGTATTTGTCCATGGGAGCTTGAGCAATAGAATATCGTGAAGCCATACCACACCTTTTCTATAAAGAGCGTTGCGAAGGTCTTCAACAAATGAGCGATTGTCCTCAGTTAAGAAATTCAATACAAACACATCACAGCTCCATGGCCATATCCTGTTGGCCAACGACCCTACACTTCTCTGAACATCCATTGCGAATCTGAAACCATAGTTCTTAGTAACATTCAACCGCACTTGCTTCCCAAACCTTTGTGTGATATAAGGATTATTAGTACTCTCAGACGCTAGTTGGATAGTTTCAAACGGTGAAACAAGGGGAAAACTCTCGCTCCTTGAAAGAAAACCTAATTGAGATACAGGGAAATCTTACCCCTAGCTTTGTCAAAACAGTCTTGCATTGTTAATTTAAAATTTGTCTGTTTCCTTTGTTCTGTTACTCTTCATGAAATCATAATAATAATAGGTTTGATCGATTTAAGCATGAAAGAGGACAGAAGTTTGTCACGCCCCGAAAATAGAGAGTGATCGATACAGGTGCGAACTACTCACACATCCCCGTAAGCTTCAAAATGAAAATTTATTCCATTTTACTAAAGAAAAGAAAAAATTAATCAAATTACATGAAAGTTAAAATAATTTTTCATGCTAATTGTCATAAAAAAGTTTCAATGTTTTTGTAGAAATTTCGACAGAACCTCCCCTATAACTAGGATCTCCTGAAAATTTTACAACAAAAACTTTTACAAATAACAGTATAAATCAAGAGCGTAGCTCCTTCCAGTCAGCAACCAATATACAAACTAAAATAAAGTCTATCAACAATCTATGTGGAGCATCTAATCTTTCTTTTAAATCAAAAAAACATACGAATTATATATTTACATTAAAAGTAACAGTACCAATCAAAAATTTTCACCCATTGTAGCTATTTTGCCCTTCAAAGATCAATGGTGGAATCAGCGTCAGCTAACAAATTTGAGGCCAAAATAAGTTTTTTAGTGAATAGCATTCTCAAAGTAAAATTTTAAAATCTAAATTAACAAACTCTAATGATAGCGTAAACTAAATAAAAATAATTCAGCAAAATAAATTTGTAAGTCTGTAAGTCGTAATCATAATCATAAAATGAAAGTAAGTTGGAAGCAATATATTTTTATCATGCTTAAAGAAAACCATTTATTCACACGTAAATTCAAGTGATGTATTTGCTAGCCAAATCATATAAATTTTGAAAACAGATATTTGTCCACATTTAGAATTTTTGAGAACTTAACAGAACAAGTAACAAACGTGGACACACAGTCCACAAGGATAAATAACCAAATGCGACTTATGCCACGAAAACAAACGTGGACACACAGTCCATAAAGGTAAGTAACCAAATACAGCCGAAGCTATGAAAAACAAACGTGGACACACAATCCACGAGGGTAAATAACCAAACGCGACTTAGGCCACGGAATCAAACGTGGGTACAAGGCCCACGAATACCAAACGTGAGAACAAAGCTCACGAGACAAACTAGCTAGTGTTTGACCACAGCACGCTACGAGCTAACGGAACTGCTGTTAACAGCGATGTTCTGTTTAAAGTCCTCTCAAAAATTGCGTTTCAAACATGCGAGAAGAATAATTACTTCTGAAATACAATTTGCATTTTCAATACCAAATTCGCATGAATCATTTTAAATTTCAATTTAAGACTTGTTGAAAATAATATTTCATAAATAATGTACAAACTTGCGTTATTTGAATAACCAAGGATTTCAAGAGTTTAATAAACCAAATAAATTCATAAATCTTTGAAATATATTCCTTGAGGAAATAAATGCAAATATCAGCCTCTAACTATCCAGCATTGATATTTCAAAGTTTCAAAACTAATGCAGTTCACAAGAGTGAAATATTTCCGTGAAAGTCTATTAAAAATAAAATAAAAATAAATAAATTAAGGGGATGTTATTCACTTACTTGTTGAAGTTTCAAATTCTCAAAATATTCTTTCTTCAATTTCTATTAGGATCCTCTTCTTCCGCACATCCTATAACGATATTATTAAACAAAATTTAACAAATTATCTTTAATTTACAAAGACTTCCTTCTACTTCTCATATATTAATCATTATCATTTAAAATTTAAAACCAAAATTCATGCTTTAAAATTACTTCAAACATTTAGTAGGCTTCTCAATGAAGCCAATATTCAAGTAATATATCAAAGTTATTCTTTTTCAATCTTTCCTTAATAATTTCTTCAACATGAATCAAAGATCTATTTAATTAGCTACCAAATTCTATCCCATTTACTTACATATATATATATATATATATATTATCAGGCTTCTTTAAAATAGGTTTCTTTCTATTTTCAGTTCAATTTGACTCATCTTCTTGACACAACGTACGGGCAGCAGCAGAACAAAGCCGAAATTTTGTAACTTCACGCATAAGGCAGCAACAGCACACACTCTCTCCCACACGTATAGCATGCTAACGAATAGGAGGTCCAAATTTTCTCACCTCAACTCAGCCGGCCTGAACAGTGGTGAACTGAGAGAAAGAAGAAACAAACGTACTCTTGAACGCTGAACAGGGGGAGGAAGGATCGAATACGGTTGGCAAGCAAGAATAGAAACTAAGTCAGCACAATAGGCCCAGCTCGGACAGCACAAGCACGAGCTCTCAGCAACAGTCCCCTAGTTCTGATGCTTTCTGACTTCTCATCCCAGACAATATGAATAGAAACGCAGGCGGAGAGGGTGATAGAAACAGGGAGCATGGAGAGCAACTTAAACAAATCAGAACAGCATGAATCTCCACCCTCACCAGTAACGAACACCAACAAAAAATGAAGAGGAGGAAGATCTAAATGCTTATACATGCACCTGAACGAAGGAGAGAAAGGAACCTAAATAATCTGGAATGAAGAAAAAAAGAAAAAAAACAGAGAGCAGAGTCACGAGTTGGCTGACCAACAGTAGACAGAGTAAAGGCAAGGACGTCGGCAATGGCGGTGGCTGAAACTGAAGAGGAGGCAACGACACAGAGGAGGAAGAAAGAATACCAAGATCAGAGCATCTCTCTATCTCTCGTGGTGTCTGGAAAAATCGACGAGAGAGTAGAGATTTTTATCAGATTTGAAGAGGGGCTATTTTGTAATTTCACGAGGCAAAAAGGCAAAATCAAAAATGAAACTTCCCATGACCTTATTCAGATTCGAACAGGGACCTTTTTGACAAATTACCAATCTGATTTCCAGAACACCAATTTCTCTTCGTGTCATATTTATCCCAAGATTAAAACACCAACTTATATTTTTACTTTTACTTAAAATACTTGGGTTATTACAAAGTTGATCAGAACAATAACATTTCATGCCCAACAAACTATGAAGAACTAAACAGAATGTAACTTACGTCTCTTTTTCTTCGACCGAAGTTTTCTTTGCCTCCACAACTATTTTGTCAATAACTCGTCTTTGATCTTTCCTAGAGAAAAGAAGAGAAAAAGAACAAAAATAATAACGCTGTTACGCAAAATATAAGCAGCCACAATCAACTCCTAACAAAAGATATAGAGGTCCAGTATGTTTATTTCAAATCAACGTACTTTGGCTCAAATGGTACTATTCTATAAGGTAAGCATCACTAAATCATAACAAGTATATAACATTTACAAATGGTACTCTTGTCAACCGATGAAGAAGAATGATAGGAAAATTCAAAAAGGGTATATTTATGATTCACTGGGGTATATTTATGATTAATCCAGGTTCTTTCATTGTGAAAGATTTGCTTCAGTTCCAAACCAATGGCTGTCAAGCTGTTTCTTGGAACCAGAATCTTATTAAATCACTTTACAGTGATCAAAATGCTTCTCGAATCCTTAGCACTCCTCTCCCTTCCACTAGGCCAGAGGATAGGATAATGTAGACTGGATCTTCTACTGGTGAATACACAACCAGGATGGATTCAAAATACCGCTGAATAGAGTGATTTTCAGTTTCCCTTATCATCTCAACCAATTTATCATTCATTTGGAAATAATTCACCAAGCAATAACTGTTAGTGTTGTCCTCCGGAAGCATCATCTTTCTAATAGCAACCTTTGTCTTTTTGGATGTGACCAGATGGGATCTTCAGATCATGTATTTGCCTTTTGCAGCTATTCTAAAGCTTGTTGATTTGCTCGACTTCCAATAAGAATTTCAGATTTTATGCAGTAAGGAGTAATCTCTTGGCTTCTATCCACTTTTTAATGCTCTTAATCAACAAGGAAATCAAGAGAGTTGGTTTTATCCATCATTATTATTTTAAATTTGATTTTGCTCTCTAGAAACTTGGCTGTGCATCTAGGCAAAATAATTCCTTCTCAAATTTTGGTGCGTGATTTTGTTAGCCGAAGATATTTGTTAACACAGATATGTGATTGGGGGAATAGAAATCATACTTCACTTATTCAACCTTCTCAGTCATTTCCCTCTGCTCAGAACAGGTTTTGGCCAGGATGGTTAATTATGAAGAGGAGATTCAAATTCAGGAAATTAACACATTGTTCTTTGATATAATCTGGTTGGATTCTAAACAGCTTATCAGTATGTGTTCAGGAAGCACACTAAGGATCAACCAAATTTCAATCTGCTTTATCTCAGATCAGCAATTTTGTGGGTTTCAAATTTTGGTCATCACTATAATTTTCCTTTGGAAGGGCTGAATTTAGTGTGCTTCAAGAAAACACTCATCTTCAAGGATATTCTTAATCAACACAGTGCTGATACTATCATTGCTGATGTTTTTCCATGTTGCTTTAGATAGTTTTTTCTTTACTAACTTTAGTTTTGTTCCCTGGATGAATGTAATTGACCTCTGATTTTTTGTCTTTTAATATATTTATATACTCATGTATGTTTCAAAAATATATATATATATATATATATGAAGAAAAACTATAGTTCCTTGATAAAAAAAAAGTTGGGGATATAAAAACTTCTATGTTCTATCAAGCATAACAATGAGTATCATCAATATTAAATATAAAACTTAAGACTATATATTCACATTATTAACAAGTCATAAATAGCGGATAACAATTCAAATTCTATACATTTCTTGTTTGAGTTATCTAGCTAAAAAAAAGTTTAGTTCAGAGAAAGTTACAATACTGTATCATGCTTTTCAAAAAGTTTGGAATAGAGAAAACGACAACAATGATAATAAAAAAAAAAAAGAGCAAATGATGGTATATAAAATTAGAATTTAATTTCTTTGAAATTGAAGAGATCTGAGTAAACATGTAATTAAATTCCCTCTCCGTGTCTATTATTACCAGATCCCAAACATAAAATGTGAAGGATTTAATCAATTTGTTGAACATGCATTAGGAGATCGATCATAAAGATGATGAGTTGTGAACAATCAGATCCATATCCAGCAACATATAAACTGACAGAACATTAATAATTACTTACGAGTTAGTATGACAAATTCTGGGCGTTCCAATAGTGTCTGAAATGGAGCTAGCCATGTTTTCACTCTAGACGGATCGATCTTGAAAAAAATTGGCAGAAATTTGTGGCCGTGTACCTTCATGCATTCAAACATCACTGCCAGTTCATCCAAGCAACTTAGTGAGAAAGCATATCTTTGTGAGAAGACAACTATATAAATCATGGATCCTTCAATGGTTTCTAATGACGGGTCAAGCCAGCTTCTGATTCTGAAACCTTCCTTTTCTAAAGTATTCCAAAGAATTGTATAAAACGAGCCAGTTTCCATATCATTGTAACTTATAGCCACATCATATTTCCAGATCCTCTGTGATGAAGAAGAAGAAGAAGGACTGTTCTGGGAATCCATTGGTAATGGCCACACGATATTCACTGTGATATCAATAAAAGGGCTGGGCCCTCTAATGTGCTTTTGTTTAATGCTCATTATAATGCCCAAGTTCTCATTGTAATGCCCCATTATAATGGACATTAGAGAAAGACGAGGCACTGCCCTCAGTAATATCAACAAAAAGTGGGAGCCTGTAGCACAGAAAATTACAAAATTAGATCAGACATATCCGTCTAGTGATTGTTGTTTGCTCTTTCCCTCGGGCTTCCTACCAAATGGTGTGAACGCATTACTCTGACTTCAAGTGCACATACGATACAATTGACTCTGTCCGATTAAATCGAGGGACCATGAATTGACTGAGAGAAATTGGAGACTCAAAATTAAAAATGAGCGCATCTTCCTGAAACGGTGAACGGTGAGAGAGAACCTGGAATGAAACGATGCTCAACAAAGAGTCATATTTCCTTTCCAAAAGTCGAGATGCATTGCTTCTTTCTTTTTCTTCTTCAGACTCCACCTTTAAGTGTGTTTCAGTGAAGCTGAGTGACCCATTTTTGTGTTTCAGTCAAGCTGAGAGTGACCCATTTTGTTGTTCCATCCAACATTCATTCTCATCCATTACTTTTTGCTGTTGTCAATTGTAGCAATGGGACAATTTTTCCTGGATTCCCAAAAGGAATCGCTTTTCTGGACACTTAAGAATGATCATTCTAATCTTCATGAACAGGGATAAGCTTCAAATGCCCCAAAATGAAGAATTAGATGGGATGAGGAAAGACGAAGAAGAAGCCTCAAGACGATAAAAATCATGATGTCGCCCATACTCAGATTTTACAAAGAGATCGATGGAATGCAGAGAAGAAGCAACCCTAAATCCCTTGATCTTCATGTTCTCGAAAAAGTAAGGGCCGAAACAAGAAGCAGCAGCAGCAGCAGCAAGCTCCTAGATACTGAACAAAAAATTAAAAAATAGAATAATAATAATAATTAAGTTTTATAGTTTAATCCATGATATATATAACTCTTAAAAATTAAAATTAATAATAAATTATTAAATTTTATAAAAAATTATTTTTATAATTATAAAAAATTTAATTTAATATTTTTAGTCTGATTTGATACACTATTTATATTTTATTAACTTTTTATGAAATTTTATACTAAAAATATTTTAAAAAATTTAATTATATAATTTTCAGTGGTAAAAAAATATATAATTTTTTTTAAATTTATATAATCATTTAATAAAAATATGAAATTTATTTTTTTAAAAGAAAAAAATTAAAGATTGTAATTTGTAGAAGTTAATATATGTATAATATATTAAAGGAAAACGTACCTTTTGGTTCATGCATTTTACTTGTATTTTGCTATAGGTTCCTGTATTTTTTTTGATGTTTTGGGTCCCTATATTTTTATTTTTTTTGGTGTTTTAAGTTCATCTAAAATCCTTATACTTTATTCATTTTGTTCATTTAGGGATTCAAAACATCAGAAAATGAAAGTATAGAGACCCAAAATACTAAAAAAAGTACAGAGACCTATAACAAAATATGAGCAAAGTGCAGGGACCAAAAGGTTTGTTTTCTCTATATTAAATTACAAAGGTTCAATTACAACAACAATAAGCCTTATCTCACTAGATGGGATAGGCTATATGAATTATATGACGCCATTGTGCTTCATTATTTATTAAGGTTTTAAAAATATTGTTAGTTAAAAAATCTCGCTCAACTTTTAAAAGTGTTCTCTTTAGTCTTTCTCTATCTTTCTTGATAGGACTTAAAGGTTCAATTAAAATAAAATAAGTTATATGAATCTAATTTAAAATTAAGTAAAATTATAAAAACATACAGATATATTTTAAAAAAATAATTTAGGAAAGATGTATATATATTTTTATGTATGTCTTTTTTTAATAATATTTTTGTTGGATTTATATCTATTCTTGAATATGGGAAAAAAGGGATCATGTGTTGCATTTATCTAGTGATGGAAAATGTTTGAAACAGTTTGATTTAATCAATTCTTCAAGTCCCTCCACATGTCGCCACGCATTGGTCTCAAGGATGAAGGATCCATTCCATACATGAATACAAAACCCCCCCCCTTCTTTCTATTCTATAAGATATTTAATGTTTTAAATATAAAAATGTTTGATAAAATATTGTTTTACTATTAATAATTATTTCAATATTACCTTTTATTATTTTACATCTCATTAAAGATGTGTCTTTTCTTTTCTTCTCATTATTTTATTGATAAATAATATTTTGAAAGTTTAAAAAAAAATTAATATTTTAAAATATATATTTAATTGATTTCATTGATATTTGTATTTTTTAAAAAAATATCTTATAAAATGAGATGGAGGGAGTAATTAATTTTAAGAACAAAAATAATGTAATGAATACTAAAATATTATGTGGATGCCCATTATCTTATTATATCTTTTAATATTTCTATTATTCCATAATATCTCATATTATGATCAATATGTACATTCTTTATGATATTTGAGAATTGCATACTTTTGCCTATAAATAATAGGCATCTCATCTCAATTATATTCTAAATACAGAAATAAAAAAGTTTTCCATTCTTTCATTCTCTTATTCTCTCTTTCTAGATTTATCTCTTCTCAATCCCTATAATCTATAACACATTATCAACACAATTGCTCAATACTGAAAGAGTACTTATAATAGTACTTACAATCACCCATTAATAAGGGTCTTATGTCAAGAGCAATATTTTGAACTCATAATTTTGTGAGTTATAATCAAATCTTTACTAATTAGATCTAGCTTTGTTGGTCTCTTGTTTAATACATTTATTTAACAAATTTATTATAGATTATTATATATATTAAATACTTTCTTCCTCTCCCAAATAATCAAAGATTACACAATAATTAATATTTTAAAATTTAGGAAAAAACACATTGCTAGTCCCTATAATTTTATGGAGTTTTGTTTTTTATTTTTATAGTCTTTTTAATGTTTTTAGTCCTTATGAAGACTAAAACACTAAAACTATAGAGACTTAAGATAACAAATGTCATCGAATCTTATTGAAATTATAGAATTAAAAATATTAAAAAACTATAAAATCTAAAAGCAAAACTCAATGAAATTATAAGGGACTAATACTTATATTATCCCTTAAATTTATTGTGTGTCACATTTAGAAGTATGATACACAATTAAATTCTAAAAGAAGTGAATTCTGAAATTGTCCACACATAAATAGGATAGATCTTGAAGTTATCCACATAGAATATAAGGCGAATCATGAAATTAACGATATAGAATTATAAGATGAATCCCAAAGTTATCCACATATGGAAAGCTTCTTATGAGCTTCTTGGCCTTCCATGCATGATAGTAGTACACTCCCTTCAATCATATTTATAAGACTAAAAAGAAAAAAATTTGTTTCATTTATTTATGTGTATGTAGTTCATTAATTTTTTTATTATAAATTTTTATTTTATCTTCCATTAAACGTTGTAAAACAAAATATATATTAAAGTAGATATATTTAATAGAGACAAAATTAAAAAAAATTATTAAATTTTTAGACAAAATTAATTAGAGATTTTATAATTTTTTGACAACACAATTCCCTCTATTTTTATATATAAGAAAATAATTGTGTTACATAGTTTAAGAAAATCAATTAACTATAATAACCATACCTGAAAATCAAAAAATAGACTAAAATATTCTTGCATTTAATTAAAATAAAACTGCATTAATTGTTTCTCCCGCATGAAAATTATGAGTCAAGAAGGATAATTTAAAAAATTATAATAAATATTATTAAAATATGTAATTTTATTTATAAAAAAATAAAAAAACAAAATGACAGTTCTCTTATGTGTAAAAAAAGGGTGGAGTACTAGTATAAGAAGACTGATTCTTGCACCGTACTCATTCAGAAGCACTCAATATATATAATAATTTTTTCCTATTTGTTTATTCATTTTAGACTTACAACAACGCGACATTAATTGTTGAGCCATTAGAATAGAAAATCACAAAATTGGCCAACGTGCCAACCACTTGTGTGATTCGTCCATTAGGGCAATTACAAACTTTGAAAGATGTAAGTGGATAGTACTTAAATTTTATTTTAATAAAGATTAATTACTATTATTAAGTAAATGCATATATAGATCCGTGCATAGTGAGGGTGTGTATATTTATATTTATATACACACACATACAAAATAGGAATTTTATTGCGATCATGTTCAAATGATATTATAAAAAATAAAAATGAAGGACTAGCAATTCAAATAAATATTACTCCCTCCATTTCAAATTATAAGACATTTTTAAAAGAGTTTTTCTGTCTTAAAATATAAGTCACTTTGAGTAAATTAAGGTTTCATTAAATGTACAGTTTCTAATATTATCCTTTCTCTTTCTATAATTAAATGTCATCCATTCTCTTTTCATTGTATTAAATTATGGATATTTTGAATGTTTATATTTTTGTTTGGAAAAATAAGGTTGTTAAATGTATTAATAAAATTTATTAATATGTGAGATTTTATCTAAAAATGTCTTATAATTTAGGATGGTGAAAATATCAGCTAGCTTTTAGTGTGTGAAGCCGTGAATAACTCATATCTAATAAATAAATTTTGTCCCAACTATCTACCAAAAAAATAAAAATAAATTTTGTCCCACGTAAGGTGATGCAGAAAATTGATAGATATGTTCAGCCCAAAACATTCCAATTGAATGGTTGATTTTCGTTTCAAAGCACATAATATATTATAGTAAAACATTAAGCAAATTAAAGTATTTCTTATTAAATAGAATGAAAAATATAGTATCTAATGGAGACTGGGGAAGGAGAACGGGAGGAGAGGATATAGAGAAAAAGGAGGAAAGGGATTAATAGAGAGAATAGAGAAAAGAAAAAAATTCAAAAGAGAGACAAGATAATAGTAATTCTTATTCGATTAAATGTGCATCTAAAACTAATGAGTTAAAGTGCTATTATAGGCCTTAACATTAACTTTAGAATTAAATGTGAGAAATTATAGAAATCCTAAAATTAAATGAAAAAATATAAAAATAATTAAAACAAAATATTCTTAATTAATAAAAATATCTTTAATTATGTTTTTTTTTTCCTTCTCATCATTTATAGTACCTGATGCAAAACTTTAAAGTATGCATTCTCAAATAGCCCATTGGGCTTGTCCACAATGGATGAGCCCATTGGGCCCGATATCACTTGACAAATCAAGGCTCTTTGCACTTATCAAGTTTTATTTAACCATTTCACAAGATACTAAAAGAAATGCTCTTTCTAATCCTTATTATAAGACATTTTCAGTTATTTCACACATTTTAAAAAAATTTATTTTTTTATGCCCATTGGGCTTGTCCACAATGGATCAGCCCATTGGGCCCGATATCACTTGACAAATCAAGGCCTTTTGCACTTATCAAATTTTATTTAACCATTTCACAAGATACTAAAAGAAATGCTCCTTCTGATTCTTATTATAAGACACTTTCAGCTATTTCACATATTTTAAAAAAATTTATTTTTTTATATCGTAAAAAAATAATATGAACTTTCATTTTTGTCCTTGACTTTAAATTACGATACAATAACATTAAATATTTTCACACTAATTAAGAAATGATAAAATTAAAAAAGTGGTTTAATTATTACAAGGTGTTCTATATTTTGAATCAAAAATTAATTTTAGAAGGTGACCTACAAAAAAGTCATGAGAGTCACTATTATCAATAATTGCTAGTTCATTTTATAAGGTTTGGGCTCATAACCTATAAGGTTTTGAGATCAAATGTTATTATCAATGAAAAACCTTATTGGTAAATAATCTGTAAGTAAAG